CGGGGGGCCTTTTCTGCAGCTGCTCCCCATTTTGGAATGCTCTCCCCAAGAAGATGTGCCTAGCGCCTTCTTTATGCTCTTTTCGGCACCAGGCAAAGACCTTTCTTTTTTTTAAAAAACATTTATTTATTTATTTATTTATTTATTTTTGTATCCTGCCCTTTACAGTGACTCAGGACAGCAATAACATAAATAACATAAATAATTTTAATAGTTGACACTACCAAATCTTTGTTTTTGCACTTTATCTGTATTTTATTAGTAAGGTATCTTTTCAATTATTGTTATTAGTTTTATTGTGGTTTTCATGCTATGATTGTGAGCCGCCCAGAAGTACTGCAGCACAATAGGCAGCATACGCGTGTTTTGAAGGAAGGAAGGAAGGAAGGAAGGAAGGAAGGAAGGAAGGAAGGAATTGTGTCTGGCTGAGTTGCAGTAGTGTAAAAATTCCTTATGTGTTCCACAGAACCTAGGAAATTTTCCCCAGCTGCATCCAGGGAGAACTGGAGGCTCAGGTGGCAGGGACAGCCTTCTTCCACAGAACCGATGGCCACACAAAATCCCGCTAAAAGAGTCTTAAAGTATGTGTCAGTCCTCTGATCGTCACTTGGTTAGCCTTGTATAAATCCTAAAAATCCAATATTGTATAAATCCAATATTTATTATTGTTATTTTTGTATTTTATTTTATGTTGTGAGCTGCCCCGAGGCTTCGGCGAATGGGGAGGCATAGAAATGTTTTAATAAATAAATAAATAAATAAATAAATAAAAAGCGTCCTTGCTTCAGCTGGAACTGAGGGCAGCTCACTGAATTCTTAGTTCTAGCATCTCGGCTAAGGTATTTCATAAGAGTGGAAGGCGAGGCAAGGGACTATCTAGTGCCGCAGGCTGTTCCCCCAAGCCTGGTGCCCCATGAGAGGCCCCTGAGGAGGAAAGGGATGCAACACCACCCAATCATGTGCATTCCCCAGCAACTAGTCTTCAGAGATACTTCAAAGCAAGGTGTTTAAAGCCGGCACCTGCATACCTGCATCACACACACACACACACACACAGAGAGAGAGAGAGAGAGAGAGAGTTTAACCTGTGCAGGTAGCTCACTTTGGCAGAGCTGCCATGCCGTGATAAAAATGGAAGTGCCACCTTACAAGAGTGCTGTGTGAGCAGGGAGAGGGCACACCAGCAGCCTGAGATGCCTTGGAAAGGAGGTTGCCCGAGGTCTTGTGTAGGTCAAAAATGGAGATGCCCTGACAGGACTTACAACCCTAAAATACTGGTTTAGGGGTTCGCTTTACTGAAAACCCTTAGCAGGTCTTCAGGATTGCAGAAGAGATCTGCACGTGCAAAATGGGCCACCTATGACAAATGCCACGGATATTTTCATCTTCAGCTAAAGCACAACGCATGGTCCTCGTACAGCGGTGCACACGCACGCACCCTAGAAGAAGATCTGGCAGCAGAGAACGAGGGGGAGCTGGCCTGTTGCCCAGCACCCCCTCCAGGACAGCTGATGGCTGCCTTTGCTGCTGCTCCTGCGGGGAGGGTCTCCTCCCTCTCAGGATCAGGCCGAGGGATGAGCTGCACCGTACACACGATTCCTGTCTTGCCAGAAGCAGCTTTCCACCTGCACAGCCGATGCCAAATTGACTTGGGACACGTTTGTGAGCGTGTGGAGAGCAAGGGAGACAAATAACCGTAACGGACTTTTCTCAAATGCATTTCTATATTTATCTACCACCAGCTGCACATTCTAGAGTTGAGCATTTCTCTGAGTCACAAGGATCCTGTGGGGTAGATAGCTTTTGGGCTGAGGAGTTGCAAACGCAAATAAAATGTTTGTACTTCCCTTTAAAAATTCTGTCAGTAAACAGATCCTCGAACCAAAGGTCCGTTATAGTCCATGAAACATGGGTGGAAAGGATTTCACAAATTCCACAGAATGGCTTCAGCAAAATCCATGGGTCCCTAGTTCTCACTTCTTTCCCCAAAAGCCTCTGACAGTTTCTATGCAACTGGACATTCAAAACAGGTAGATGATAATTTTATCCATTCTTTTTGTCAGCAGATTCTGAACAACTTGTGGAAGGGTTCCTGCCATCCCCATCTGCAAGTAAGTGGAAAGCTTTAGGAGGCATGAAAGAGTCTGCCTATTCTGAATTCCCACGGACAAAGAAGATCAGCTTGACAAATCAGTGCCATAGGCTGCCATTGTATAATAATTCATCCTGGAGTCAGATCCAGTGACCTCAATGGACCTTACTCTGAGGCTTGCGCTATTCAAGGTAGTAGCTGCTGCTTAGAGTTAAGCTAAAAAGCCAACCTGTTTCCTCCAGGTAGTTAACGGGAAGTCCCAATATTCTAGAAGTCCTATTACCAAAAGAACTTGTGGTCCAGTCTTAAGTGGTGTCAAGATGAAGGCAGCTCAGAGAGCCAAGAGCTCCTCAAAATATTCGCACGCTTCCCTGTCTCTCTGGAGTTATACCATCCTTATAAGATGCTTGCCTTGATGCGACTTCATGTCAGGGGCCTCGGTCCAGCCTTAGCTGTGCCTCTGTGACCAGTGTTCCTGGACAAGGATCCCTCTTTCAAATCCCATAATGGCTGAAGGAGCCTCTCTCCTCCGCCCCCATCAGCTGCGTACCTCATTTGCCTTGCTGGACTGAGCAGTTTTTCTTGGCGTGTCTCTTTAGTGACATAAGTGGGTATTTTAGATGGCTAATGCCCCAGTGCACGATCACACAGTCAATCAGGAGCTTTGGGTATAAACTGAAGGCACTAAATGGAGTAGCATTTATCTGGACTGCAATGGTTTCGATGAACACCCTCATCCACATTCCAGGACAAGAGGAATGTCCTAAATCGCTCTTCTTAGATACAGCCTGAGCTGAAGGGCTCACATTAAATTTACCTTGGTTTTGAATAAATGTGAATTTAATAGGATTCTTGACCCTGACTGACAGCTACATAGTTTACTTTTTTTTAAGGGTTAGGGATACTGATATAACAGAGCTCTAAGAGGTATATTTACATGTTTATTGATTTATTTCCCTTTGTGTGAGAAGTAACATGTCATTAAATGTAAACACACTGCTGTTGCACCTGGATTTCTACTTGCAATGCCTTCAATATTTTTCATTGCCCAAATCATAATCCTGCTAAAACTATGCACTATTCACTTAAAGCCAAAAAAACCCCCAAAAAACCAAACCCATCGTAAAATGCATTTAAAATAAATAAGAACACATGTAGATATGCAAGTATATAACCCCACAGTGTACTTAGAGAAGAACTTGGTAAGCACCAACAGAATAATGGGTCAGGTCACACACTCACTGATGTATGGAAGAACTTTGATCTCTGTGACCAAATTGTCTATTGCCTGCAAGCAACGCACTCGTGCTCATGTGGGCGTCAGTGCAAAGGGACGGCCTGCTCCAGCCCCACAGGCCGCCCCGCAGTCTCAGGCCTGTGTGCCCGTCAGCAGCTGGTACCAGGCCAGCAATGTCATGGCAACATGGGAGCAAGAACAGGACGCATCACAGGGCTCCTCTCCTGTGCATGGTGATGAATCAATTTGCTTATTTCATAGCAAACAAACTGGTTTAAGTTATCACATTTCCTCCTAAGACCGAGTATATTCCAAGCTGCCATTCACTCTGCCATCCTCAAAGAAATCTTTATGAGGCTGGCTTCCAACAGGAAGCAGTGGAGGTTTCCTACTTTCCTATTGTCTTAAATTCATCCTGGGCTTTAATTGCACACAGAGGTCAGCACAAGCATTTACTGCCTCTTGCATTGAGGCTCAGTGCAAGTCTAGTCTCATGGGCAAAAACATCACCATCCGAACTGTAAACAAGTCACCTTTTTAAGCCCAAAGTATATAGATGAATGCTCTCTTTCTCACTCACACACACACAGACACACACACAGGGAATTATGCATATAATATTGTTAATCTTGGGAAGCTAGGCTGAGCAAGCGCTACTCAGGGAGTTACTCCAGTAATGGGAAAGAAACTGGATGAGGCAAGGAGATGTGCCCCTCATAAATAGAGGGGGCCAATATTGAGCATCTTCTCCACTGGAACCCAGGGCCTTTGTTCCCGCAAGCCAGATGCAGGATGCCTGATGTCTAATTGACCGCCACCCGCATGTTAGCTCTTCCCTGCTCTGGAGAGGGAGCTGGAATGGCCCCCCTTGGAATAACCCTCTCGCTTACAGCTTAGTGTCACATGTAATAAGATCATCTCTATAGCTCTACATAGAATATTGTGTAAAAATAGCTTTGGAGTATTAAAAGTATTGCAACAAAATACCTGGGAGATAATTTTAAATGCGTTCTTTGGTACCCGCTTGATACTTCTGCAAGGAAATGGTGAGGAGGTTTTTGTAATGGATATATTCCTTAGCAAACAAAGAGAATGCAACTGGCTCAGGGACCATTCGAGATTTCTTTGCCTTATTTGAGCTTGTATCCAGGGAATACACTGGCAACGTTTGAACAATTAAAAGAGCAAAATCACACAACTGTAAAATTGAAGTCAGGTGATGCAATAGCAGTGCGCTTGCGCTTTCTGGAGGTCGGCCCTGGACAGGTTCTTCAGCACAGGTGTGTGCGCAGGGATGCCGTTTGTGCCATGTGCCTTCCTGGCATCGTTGGGGAACTGAAGAGACGCTTCTGAAATCATACTCTTTCCTCTCAAGTAATGGTCATGCTCCAAACCACTGGCCAGCCACGTGTGGTGGGACAGAGCATGGAGGAAGGTGTACCATCAGTGGTTGGTTTCTCTATTCATCTTCGGTCTCTTTGTTTCACAAGTCACCATCCTAGTCAAGTGTGTTTCCTATAGCAAAGTCATAATCAGATGAAGTAAGTCTTTGGTTTCTTTGGATGTATAAATAACCTTTTAAAAAGAGTTTTAAGTATAAACCTGCTTCCTCAAGGTCCTTTTTGTCTATCTTAAAGCTTTTCCACCGAGTTTTAGTGTGTGGCCGATTCTTTATGCTTTGGTACAACTGCCTGATGAAGAACTGGAGCTGCCTTCCTCTTGCCATTTATCCAGGCTCCTCCTCCGGGCATTCATGAAAAAGTTGCTTACTGTGCTCAGCTCCAGACCAAGCTGCTGCGAAATGGTGATCTGCAACTCCTTGGAAGGGCGCTTATTTTCCTTGAATATTGCGTGAAGAGTGCGACGCTGGACATCTGTGAAGACCAGCCGGGGCTTTTTGGGGGTGCTTCCTCGATCTTTCCCATGTTCTTGCTCTTTCCGTTTACAGGCTGAAATGAAAAAGAGCACATCAGAGCTTTACTTCCTGGTCTCTCACGCTCAATCAGTCTGTTAAGGGTTAATTTCAGAAATGTGCATCTTGGTTGCTGAAGACAAAGAACCTCGTTTTTAAAGACCTGACACTCTCCTGGTACATCTGACATCCAGAAAGTGTGTTCAGTGTGTGATCTAATCTTGTCCCTTTTCTATTGTTTATAAGTACATGTCAACATTTATTTGTAATACTAACTGTGTAAAACAGGTTATATGTATGGACAGGCAAATCTCAATAATTCTTAGGTGCTTCAGACCACTAAATTGCATCTACTGTACATGACACTGGTCTTGGAAATGTACAATACTATGATGAAACTTTTTAAATGTTTTCTTCAGGTCAATTTTAGATATCTAATTATCCGGCACAAATTTTGTATTATTAAAATGGACAGTCAATTTTTGAGAGAAGAAATAGTTGGGTCCATTTTCCAAACAGCATGTTTTCTTTCAAAAATCTTTGCTGTTAATATTTATTGACCTGCCCTGCTGTGTGGACAGGGAGAACTGATGAAATGTAAGGAAAATTAGCAGGCATATTTTGTAACTGAATATGTTCTGAAATATTCAAAGTATGCAGAGGAGGAGCACCGTGAGTGCACATGGCAGCTTACAGAGCAGAAGAAAACAGGACCCTGCCCTGAGGAGATTACAGGGTGACATTTGGCAGCAGCTGGTTCACAGAGGCAGCAAATTTGAGGCAGACACGATCCCCGCAAGCTCCATGCAATGGTGTCAAGAAAGGAAATGGTTACTTGCGGTTCTCTTAAAAAAAGAAAGAAAGAAAGAAAGAAAGAAAGAAAGAAAGAAAGAAAGAAAGAAATGTAGAGCACAGAACATAAAGGGCCCTGCCCCCATTTTGGGGGGCATTGCCAAATGTAATCACCTCCTATGACAAGGCCACACCTGCAAAGATCAGCCAGTGTTGATGAGAGAAAAAAATGCAGGTATTTCTTAATTTCTGTGGCAGTCCATTAGAGGCACAAAACCTCAGAGGTCTGTACCCCAGCTTGGAGTTGATAGTGTGCTGAAGCAAACAGACTCCAGGCTGATCCAAACTGGCAAGTGGCCAAACAGTCCGATTGGTGTATACCTTTGCTGAGTGGCTACCGGTTATGGCCCCTATGTACTGCCTCCAGTATGAAGGACAGCATGGCTCTGCAGACCTGTGGTGAGGAAACATGAGTAGGAGGAACTTTGCTCCTGCTTGTGGGTTCCACAAAGGTACAGGTCATGCAGGGTATCTCTGCATTCCCATGAATGTACCCATCCCTACCCAGGAGGTCTGGGGGCGTGAGTTCCTGCCGTGACGGGATGCAAGCGTGAACACACCATCGGACTGAACCTAAAGCGGGAGGGAGTTATTGATACCTCTCCCAAATGTTGTCCTACAGAGGAATCATAGCATAGTAGAGTTTGAAGGGGCCATGGGGACCATCGGGTCCAGCCTCCTGCTGTTGCAGGACACCAGGTCACACCTTCCCACTCAGATGGCCATCCAGTTTCTTTTGAATGTCTCCAGTGTGGGAGAGCCCACCACCTCTGCAGGCAGCTGGTTCCACTGCCATATTGCTCTGACAGGGAGGAAGCTTTTCCTGATATCTAGCCTGAACCTGAATGGATCATTCCGTATCCTACACTCTGGAATCAGCAAAAAGGGATACTGATAGAATGATATCATCTCCCCCCTCAGTCTTGTCTTCTCAGATGATATCTCAGATGGTATGTCTCACAGTTCTTGCTTGTTCATAACCCAAACACTGATGTATTGATGTTTTTCTTCCCACCTTATCATTAAAAACAGCCAAGGCAGCAAACCACCCAGTTGAATAAAGATATATTCTAGCTCTCTGCAGTGGCTGCTCTTATCCACTAGATGGCAGATGGCCTCTGATTAAGAGGACTAAAGGTCTAAACAAGCGAAGGTGGCCCGTAAAATGAGACACCAGTATGAGGAATCTACTCCCATCTCAGTATATGGATGTGTGAAAACTAGCGGCCCTCTGTGTATGTATAAGCAGACCCCCCTGTCCTGCCCCTTTTATAGTGGAAGGCAAAATTTGTGTAATAACAGGAGGATGACTTGAACTTCAAAAAAGCAGAGATTCCTAACAGGAATCAGAATAGCCTTAAGTATGTTCTGAATCATGGACAATGAGGTTAATGGCCAGCAAGCATAGAATGCACTAAATCCTCTAGAAAAGGTAAAATAGCTACCTAAAGCAGGTTCGGATGTTACTATAATCTGTCTCTTCTGGGTAAAGCAAAATAAACACAGTAATCTTTTTATTTCAAATAGCTGTTCATGCCTTCCAGGACTGCAAGAGATTCCTGCAGATTCTGAAAAGGATCAGAAGGCTCACATTCTCTCAAAGGATCAGAAATCCTTATCAACAGGCTAGGTGAAGGAGAGGGCAGCCTTTGATTTTGAAACTGTGTCACTGGATGAATGGAGCTAATGAAAAATTAGCTATTTAGTGCAGATTTGGGTCAAAGAAGTTCGGCCCTAAACCCATGTGATGGACTGTTGAATATCTTGATATCTCTTTGGAGGAAACCATGGTTAAAGGGCATGTTTTCATTCAGGATCTTAGATTCTGGTGATTCCTTCTCCAACAGACTTATCCTCATTCCATTTTGTACAGAGAAGTGCCTTTCCCCCAACCTCTTAGCCACCTCTTCCACATTTCCACTTTCCTCAGACATTTAGCCAGTTGGGAAACTAGTGGTATCTTTGACATGGGCCCAAACACCTCTTCACTTTTCCTACAGGAACCATTTCCTAAAAACATTATCTCTTTCCCAGGGCAGAGCCAATACCTGATAAGGGTCATGATATGTATTAATGTATTTAACATATTTTAATATAGCTACTTCTTAAAGCTATAAATGCTATGAGACAAATCTACCCATGAAAATGCCATGAAAGATTGGCATTGAGGGTGGGGGCTCTTATTTGGAGATTTAAAGTATTCATGTCTCAAATAATCAGAGATGTAGAAAATGCTGGCATGTGCAGATTTAAAGGCTACCTTTAAATTAATTAACTAGACCCTTCCAGAGGCTCATCATTTATTAAGCGGAACCATAGCTAAAATGATAAAATTTCCTTGCAATTTTTTCTCCGCCAAAATCTTAATTATATTGATTCAGCCTCAGTGTTGCAGTCTTATCCTTCTAAGAAGAAAAAAGGGCCATATCATATCAATGCACCTGCTACCTGGAAAAAAGAGAGGGGGTAACCTCCCATCCAAACTTGCTTGCCAGTGGATAAGAAATGGGAAGGAAGCTGGTGAAAACACAAGGGAGTAGGTAAGTTTCGAGTTGGGGTTTGTTGTGTTGTTTGTCACTGAGGCTTAAGTTCTTGCTCTGAAGCGTAATAATTTGAGGCCATGCTGGCTTGTTCCCAGTCCCTTGGTAACAACCTTTCCATCTCACTTGCAGATAAATATTAAATATTAACACAAAATAAATGAGGTTGAGGGAAAGAGTTATAAATGAATCAGCCTCAAGGACACTGCCAACAAACTATGGTAGATTCTCTTCTGCAGGATTTCTGCAGAACAGTTGCTATTAAGGCGACAAAAGGCAAGCACTCGCAGATGTAGGGAGTGGAGGGGCAGAGGTGGGGCAGAGATTCCCACTATCCCCTCCCACAGAAGGTATCAGCCTGAAGGCTTGCCGCTGCTTTTCTGCTTGGCCCTCCATGTAAATCAGCTGGAGGAATCCAGGGCATGGCATTTTGCAGGTGAGTGGCCCTTAGTTTGGGAAGCTAAAGAAAGTGCAGAGGCGAGCAGGGATCTTCCACAACACTTTCTGCAATGAGCAACGGGGACTTTTTATTTTATTTAGCTATGCATTGAAGTATTTGGAAGAGGGATGCCTTGCAGCTCCAGGACAAAGCACCGGCATCCCCCTTCCCTGCAGAAGACTCAGCAGCCTCTCTAGTCAAAAGGACCTCGAATCAGGATTGGCAATTCTGCCTCTGAATGCCCTGGAGAACTGCAACCAGGTCACAAGCCTTGGTGCGATGGGCCCATGAGCTAATTCAACATAGGGCAGTTTCATACATTCTCGTCAGAGGCTGGAAACAGTTTTCAGCCAAGGAACCAAATTCCAGTTTAGGCAGGGTCTGAACAGAACAGCTTTCCTCGGTACAGAGTACGGCCATGCAGGGCATCTGAACTTTGAACCTTTGAAGAGAAGTGCCTTATGGCCTCAAATCAGTAGCAGAGGAACCTCAGGCTGTAAGGGGAGCCAGTGGGGGGGGTGTATCTAGCCCTCAAGCTGGAGGAACGCCATAACTGTTCTGTCTACTCGCAGGGCCAAAAAGCATCCCAGCAGGACGCTGCTGTCAACCCTGGTCCTTGGCAGCTGGCCTAGGGCACTTCTGGCTGCCATCTAAGAATCCCCATAGGAACCTGAAGTGCCTAAGGCAGAAGCTCTCTTGGAGGGCTGCACTTTCGAAGTCCTACCAAGTCTGGGAGTGAGGCAAACATCAAACGTCACTGGCAAAGGAGGGCCGCTGGGAAGGAAGGAAGTTGCCTGGCTGAGCCTCCTCAAAATGGTAGGCAGCCCCACCTACTTGTGGCAGAGGAGCAGCAACTGCTTGGCAGACATGAACTGGACGAGCTCTGGGTCGGGCATGGGTTCTTCTTTTGCACCTGCTCACGAACAATGCAAAACCCATACCAGTTTGGGCTGGGGAAAACTGTGGTGGGCCAGTAAGATTCATCCACCTGAAGACTGCGAAATGGGTTCAAGATCCTTTGGTGAGAGACTTTCTCTTAAACCTTTTTGAAGTCCAAGCCAACACTGGAGAAAGTGGATGGGCAAGTATTTTCACCCTCTCTCAAAATACTGGAAGCCACTGGGGTCATCCCATGAAGCCGGTTGGTGAAGATTCTGGACAGATACAAGGAAGTCATTCTTTGCATGGTGCCTGGTTAAACTAGTG